CTAAACACTCTCTCTCTCTCTCTCTCTCTCTCTCTCTCTCTCTCTCTCTCTCTCTCTCTCTCTCTCCTTTTAACAAAAATATCAGCTTTTTACACACTTTTCATCATCATTAAACTCATTCGGAATCGGAATGCTTGAAGCATACGCAAGAATTAACTTTTTTCAATCATCCGTGTAAGTCTATGGAAGTCAAAAAGAGTCGTTTAAAGGACTACGAATGAGAATTCGGTTTCCAATAAAAAAAATCTTGTGTAAAGTGGCACAGTAATAAACGAGGCAGCATGAATGCAGCAACTAACAAGGGACATGACCCAAGTGTTCAGCGTCGATTGTTTTCTCCTTGAAATATGTTATTAGATATTAAAATTCAACAGACATGTGGATGTGTGCATTAATAGTTGCTTCAAGTTTCATTCCTTCGACTACTCCTAAAGGAATAGTCGAAGGAATAAAATCATCTTTCAAATCACCCTTTCAAATTTTATAGCTAAAATTTCTTTCGGTGACATCTTTGGATTCTACGACGAATATATTAAAGTCCAATAAGGAATATTTTAGAGAAAACTTATTCAGTAGTTGACTGTAAGACTACTAGACTGTTACTAGCAAAAAAAAATTTTAATTGATTTGTTTTTAATCTTTTTTTATTATTTTTTGAAAAAATATCTGCCATTCCATATATTTCTTTCCAAGTTGTATAGACTCCATTACAGGTGTGTAGATGCACACAGTTTTTATTGGAGGCTTAAAAAAAACTCATCTTTCCAATGAGTACTTTTATTTTGACAGTCGATGTTTTGTATTATTATAATCTTTAAAAATTGTCAATATATATGTATGTACATTATATACATAAAACTTTTAACTTAATAAATTTAATATATCGCGCGCGTGAAATACATATCATCCTTATTTCGACATTAGAGCGAGAGAAGATGATACTGCCGACAATTTAAGAAATCATGTGCATGCTTGTCGTGCTTGCTTACTCGTGCCCAACTGCCCAACAAACTAAATTCTTAATTAAAAAAAAGACACGTATAGTATATGTATGTATGTAACTTACGAGTGAAATCATTGGCGAGACAAGCACCCCATTCCTGCTTGGATAGTTTTAAATCCCGATTTAGGTCGCACGTGCGGGCGAACGTGCGTGCGCACTTCTTCGGTCTCACCGCCTTCTTGGCGAGTCTTCTGAGCTCCTTGTACTCAGCCTTATCTAAGTAGCCGTCCGCGTTCTGGTCCAGCATAAGAAATTTCCACGACAACACCCGTTCGACATTCTTATCATCTATCAACAGGAAAGCAATGTAGTTGGCCATATGCGAGATATAATTAAGAAATTACGTGTGCTAACGTGTGTGGTCGATATCGATACGAGCTTGCAATTTGAATTATCTTTTTTAAAGTTGTTACAAGCTCGCTCGCTCGATCTTATCTGATTGGGATCTGCAGTTGGTCGATTTATAATTATCGATTTATAATCGGAAGAGATCGATTAATCATAAATTATATATGTATATTCTTAACGCGATTGCTCATGTCGCTTATAGAGCTTACCCTCAGCGGATATGTTAGTCCGCCTGTATTCAATTTTGAAGTTCTCGATGAGATTTCCATTAAACTTGGACTTTTCGGTACGATCGCACGTATTTCGATGTCTATTGCTAACGTACTGACTACGTTGCTTCCTACCGACTGCAGGTGAGCGTCGCTTTTGGCCACTCCTAGTAGAAGCAGCAGCAGGTCTGGAACCGGCTCTCAAACATCTTGGTTTTTTGTATCTTACCGTTGTATCGGGCAACGGCCGGCCTTGCGGCGTTACGCACCAACAATACTCGGTCTCCGCGTGACACTGAACCGGCGCATATGTTCCATCGGGTCGGCAGGCAGGCCGTACGCCCTGTCGAGCGGTCAGTCTTGCTGAGAAGCACGCCGGGGTTTCTGAATAAAAGTCATACATGTCTTGTCATGTCACTCGTTCAACTTGACTTTCATCTATTGCAACGTACCTATTATACATATATCTATATGAGCCACAACAGACAGTTTAATTTTAATTTCTGTATCTAATAGACAAAAATCTGCAATTTGAAAGAGAGAGAGAGAGAGAGAGAGAGAGAGAGAGAGAGTTTAATCTATAATAAAGATAAGTAAATGTACTAATATACATATACTTGCCTCATTAAGAATATTATATATTATAATAATGTACATATAATAATACGTCTTTGAAGATATGTTATTTTATGTGTACCATAAGCATTTCTATTGTATGTAATACTGATGAAAAAATCAGTAAAGAAAAAATGCAAAATTTTACACTGATCTATAGTAAATTCTACAAAAATTTACAAATATTCAAATTTATAAAAATTGTGAGGAAAGGAAGCGACAATTTAAATATCAATGTATTGATGATAACGTTATTTAATTGATAAGCGTAGCGAGAATCGACAAACCACGCAAATTGTTATAAACCTCCGAAATATTATAATATAATACTGCATTTGTGAGAGAGAATGCATGTTTCGCGCGCGTGCGTCTTCGTTGTTGTAGTTGTATTATCAACAATATAATTATTTCAAGTATTTCAGGTATAATGACGGTCGAAAGTAATATATATTTATATTATAGTTTCTCAAGAATTTCTCAAATAGGTACCTCAAACGTGAAGGAGTAAAAATGAAAGGAGTTCTCTCGATCGAGTACCTTAGCCGATGTCATAGTATTAGCAGCATCAAGCTCGAGGATGAACAGCAAGAATACAGTGGCTCGTATCGTCAGGAACACCATCGTGTTCTCTCCAGTCTACTCTCAATGCGTTTCTTAGAAAACGATGAAAGGACGGAGAGGAACTTGTCTGAAAAACACGCCCGCGCGCGCAACACTTTACACATATACACTCGCTACATTCCTATGTTCCCAGCACACAACGCATTTCCGTTCATCTGTCTTTTTATTCGAACGGTGTATTTCACGAGACTCATTAGTTCACTGCGATCAATGACCTTCCGAGTTTTTTATCGATAAATTACAAAGTAAAAGACACGACCGAGAAGAAGAGGATTTTTCTGGAAGAGAGAGAGAGAGAGAGAGAGAGAGAGGAGCCATGCGCGACCAACCGTAGCGAATGTCGCAGATCAACTGGCACTTGCCAGCTTACCACTTGCCAGTCTTGCCACTTGCCACTTGCCGGGCTGGAGCAACCTCTGAGCAACAGCCTGATATTCGAGGCACACTCATCCGGCACTCTACTACTCATGCGTTACTCTTCCAACCACTTCCAATGCTGCACGGCGAGGCCCCGATTCCCGATCCCTATCAGGAGTAGGGATGCATATGCGATACTCCCTACAAATCTAAAAAGCTGTACTCAACTCAAGTTTGACTCTTTAAATGTATAATTAGTATTTTTCATATCAATATACATTTGTGTCGACACATTTCTTTTGATAATTTTATGTAAAATACGATTCTAATAACTTTGATACAATGACAATGAATTTAATTAATGATCGCTTTTTTCGATCGCTTCTTCAATCTCTTAAATTTGAAATTTTATATTTATCATTTAATTTATTTAAACAAAAGCTACAATAACACGCGTTATAAATTGATTCAAAAAACTTGATAAAAAATTTAAGAGAAAGAAGAAAAAAATTAAACTAAACTAAGCTAAATTAAAAATTCTAAATTAAACTAAAGTAAATTAAATTGAAATAAACTCAACGAGATGTGTAACGTACTTTATAAGGATAAATTCACTTTCAGAAAATACTTCTTTGATACAATGAAAGAAGATCTCCTTCCAAAAATGCTTAAATAAATGAAACAATCTGTCATTCTTTCGATACGATAATTCATTATAGATATGCAGGCGAACAGAGATAGATATGATTTCCGTTGTACATACTTGCGCAGCCTTAAAGAAATGATGATGATGATGAAAACGATCCACTCTTTCCATCTTTCGAAATAAATCGATCCAATGTATTATATTTGTTCACAAATGCAACATTTCGTCCATCTCTCTCTCTCTCTCTCTCTCTCTCTCTCTCGCTCGCTCGCTTATTTTAATGGGTTCATAAAAAAAAGAATAAGACACGATACTGCAATTTCCCTCCGCTGCATCTGCAAGAAAAATGGTAATAAAACATTAATTATAAAGTTAAATATCATTAAATCAAATTTTCCTCTTTTTAGTATTATATTCTTGCATCGTAAAGTATTATATTGCAAAAATGTTTAATAACTTGATTATATTACATGATATATAAATTGTAATAAAGACTAAATTTACGAATTTGATATTATAATTCATAAATAATTGCGTAAAATATTGGTACAACACCCTGGAATTATTCAACAACAGATCGAGTTATTTTATACAATATAAAAAAGCGCACTCTTTCCAATAATAAGTGATAAGTTCTTATCATTGATCAAAATCTTTTTCGATATTATTTCGAATCGTAGCATGAATTAAATTCGAAATCGGCAAAGGATGCCAAGACAGAAATTATGTATGTCTGGTGATTGTTTTCATTTTTTTCCTTCCTGTTTGCACAATACGAATGCATAACGTGCCGGATGCGATTGAAGACCCATATATGAGTCATCGGAAATTCGAAACCGATTCAAAACTGGTTGTTTAACTGATGGAATATAACGTTTAACAGCGAATAAACCTGCGGCCTGGTTAATTTATTACAGGCTTATAGAGTGTGAAGATACTCGAGCAGAGGAACGTTGGCATTGTCATGAATGTCATGCTATACTATAAGTGAGTGAATTTTTAAGAAATTTATTTCATACATTTGGTATATACATGTATACAACACCAAATGTATGAAAGCGTTTGTAAAAATGATATGTAAATATGTGATTCAAAGTAAATTAAAATTTATCGATTACGACTCGTAAGAATAAAATTTAAATAAAGAACGATATAAATAAGAGTTAATTAGCCGTACGCTGCGTATGTTAGTATTTATATACAAATATATAAGCACTGAAAAGACGTAGAAAACAAAGTCAAATGTCATGGATCCATAAAAGCGTGGCTCATAACGCCCTTTACATCGTTCTTTATTCAAAAAGTAAATGATAACGATAACTGTCGCGATAATACGTGAGACTAGTGAGTACAACTTTGAGAGATTTTATTGAAAGGTAAAACGGGTAGATGTGATATGAAAAATTTTTAACCATTTATTAACATTTGTAAGGATATATGTATATATGTAATACGATACGTTATGCGTGCTCATTTTCAGTTAATTTACATTCCAGTTGAGATATATGCGTTCTTAAAGCGAGCACGGATTGAACGCGTTTCGTGTTTTAATAGCTATAAAATCGGATATTTAAAATATTTGCTTACGCGAGAGAAAACGGCATAGAATAAAGGGAAAGCGAACACTCGATTTGTTTTGCGCCATGTTGTTGACACTTCCGACTCACTGATTATCATTTGTGTCAACAATATGGTGCAATATGTACATATAACATGTTTTTTAATTGTATTGTTTATTTTAATTTTATATATATATATATATATGTACATACATACGTATATGCATGTATATGCAATATATATGTATGTATTTATATATACGCGCGCGCGCGCGCGCGCGCGTGTGTGTGTGTGTGTGTGTGTGTGTGTGTGTGTGTGTGTACACAGCCGTGTTCATATAAGGCGTTATCAATTGTGATACTTTTATAAAACAATTCGAGAATTCTATCTATTTTTGGAGGTGGCATGATAGTGGGACGGGGAAGAGAGTAGGAGGAAAGAAATAAGAGATAGAAACTAAAGGAGGATAAAAATCGTCACATAATGAATCGTCTGAATGAACAGATATATATATATATATATATATATATATATATATATATATGTATATATATATATACACGAGTTTTAAAAGTTAAAAAAAAAACAATTTATTGTTTTTTTTTTTTAACATCTCTTATTTTGGATTTATTGCCCACACTTTGCAAGTTCGCACGAGCAACATTCCATCGGTTCAAATACTTGTTACGTGCGTATCTCGTGTATATATATATAGGTATATATATATATATATATATATATATGTATATATATATATATATCTGTTCATTTAAACGATGCATTATGTGACGATTTTTACCCTCCTTTGTTTCTATCTCTTATTTCTTCCCTCTTATTCTCTTCCCCGTCCCACTATCATGCCACCTCCAAAAATAGATAGAATTCTCGAATTGTTTTATAAAAGTATCACAAGTGATAACGTCTTATATGAACCCGGCTCAACAATACAAACGTTTCATACTATAAAGAGAGAGAGAGAGAGAGAGAGGAACGGTTTGGGAAGAATTTTTTAAAATTGTATTCGATCGCGGTGCACACATGCGCGTAACATCTATGAGTGTGTAGTTTATTTCTTTATCTCCCTTCCCAGCCCTCTCCCTTAACCATTCCACTTTCTTTCCATCCTTTTTCTTATTTCTCTGTTCCTCTCTACTTCCTTTCTTTCCATCCTACCCCCCCCCCCCGCTTCCCCCTCTCTCCTTGCCTCTCTTTTTCTCTTTCTTTTTCTCCTCATTCATTTCTATCTTTTCAAAAATATCTTTATACAGTCTTATCGATAAAAGTCAGTAATGTGACAAGTTAGTGACATTACTTTATTTTATATGGATTAATTTTTATTGCATCTTTATATTTTCTAATTAAGATAAGAAAAACGAGAAAAACTATAATATATACGTACAATATTATTAAGCCTCCTCTAAATCGCCTAATATTTGTTGAAGAACGCGCATCCCATCCTGGAATTTATAATACATATACGATCGTTCTAACGATGATCCAATAGAAAATCTTTCCACTGATATCATTTTCCCATCTTCTTTTTCCATCAAATTCCAAATATTACCAAAGTACATTGTTTGAATAAAGTTATTGGTGAGACTCGAACTGGCCCATACGCACACATGTACCTATAACATAATTGTTAGATTTTATCGTGAAAAACAGCTCAAGATTAAAATATTTCTTGACCGCTTAATTTTCTCTTTATATCCAATAATATTTTATATACAATATTAATTATTACTTATTATTTTGGACCTATTTGGAGTATGAATTAATAAATTAATCCAGAGAAAGTCCGCGCGAGATAAAATTAAATAAATACAAAAGAGAAAATCGTCTATTGAATTAAAATGAATTGCTAATATGGGTAATACGTGAGATTAAACGTTAGTTTACAATATTAAAAATAGATTTTCAACTTTATGCTATAAAGTTAGCGATTTCTGTGAGTATGGCTAGTGAAATGTGTGTTTTTAGAGAGAAAGAGAATACAAATTTTTTTTATTCGAAAAAGCAAAAGTTGGCCATTTTTATCAAATGTACATATAATTCCTTCCTTACTCTCTTTTTCAAAATTCGTGAACACGACTTCATTGAGTGAAGTATCAAGGCACAGATTCTGGCGATGCGCGTCCTCGAATCATCGTTTCCAAAAGCTTCGTCATCTAGCAGGTAATCGTCCAAGTCATTTATCAAAAGGACGGAAGGGACTGCTGCATAAGTATGCAGTTTAAAAAGTTGCTTCGCAAGAGCTTCGTAATCCGTCAAATATCTGCGTAAATAAATATAATAATAAAGACTGACAAGGCTCAACGAAATTATGAGAAATGTGTGTGTGTGTGTGTGTGT